GCGTTGGATTTCCAGGCTGGCATTGTTGGTGGTGTTTACGCTGGTTCCAAGATAGACGAAATTATCTACGACGTCAATGTTATGACTGTCAACAGTGACCTGAGTGCCAAGTCGCGAGTGCGACGACTGTTTGTTTGATGACAGGAGATATTTCGTCTTGCTCTCGTTCACTGCCAGACCCATTCGTTTTGCTTCCTTGTCCAGACTGGAGAAAGCAGAACTAACGGCGCGGGTGTTGAGGCCGATGATATCAATATCTGTGCGAAAATGACGGCGCGTGGCAACTTAATTTTTATAAATTGTTCTTACTATTTTATTACAAAAAAAAGTATTTTATCTATGGAAGAAAGTTAAATCTAAGTATAGAAGCCATTATTTAAACCTACTATTGACTGTTCTTATTAGCTTAAACTAAGTAGGAATAAGTGATAAATAAACAATAAAGTTTATGACTAAAGCTGAACATACATGCGCACTCATATCTGCGCCCGTTCAACCCACTTAGCGCTGCTAAATACATTCATATGTGTTGGAACACAAGGGGTATGATTATACACATTTACAAACATACAAATAAAGCTTAGAATATATTTTGTGAACCGCTTATCAGTTATAATTACTTTGGTATTTTCACTTCACTTTCAGTTGCTCTCGGTGCGGCAATCCAAACACAGTATCATTTGGACAGGCGATCGGCGTGGTCACGCACAACCCAAATCAAATAAAACATTAACAAGCACAAATCAAAAATGCTGACTAAAGTCTTCCGTATGGTGATGCTGGGTGCGCCCGCCTCAGGTAAGGGTACAATATCGAAACGCATTGTCGATAAATTCGGTTTCGTACACATTTCACCCGGCGACATGTTGCGATTGAATGTGGTGCACAATACCGAGTTGGGCAAGAAGGCGAAAAAATTCATGAACGAGGGCAAACTGGTGCCAGATGATATTGTAATGAAATGTGTGCTCAGCCGCATTACCGAGGTGGGCAACAAATCGTGGATGCTCGATGGCTTTCCACGTACGTTGGCGCAAGCTGAACGTTTGAGCGCTAGTGAACCGTTACATGCGGTTATTAATTTAGAAGTGCCACATGATGTGATCATAGAACGTGTGAAGGGACGTTGGATTCATTTGCCGTCCGGACGTGTTTATAATGTGGGCTTCAATGATCCCAAAGTGCCGGGTAAAGACGATGTGACCGGTGAGGATTTAGTGCAGCGCGATGACGATAAGCCCGAAGTAGTGGCGCGCCGCTTGCAAGTATACGAGGAGATGTTGCGACCAGTGTTTGACTATTATCAGAAACAAGAACTGATCACTAACTTCAAGGGACGCACTACCGCTGAAATATGGCCGCAGGTGGAGAAATTCCTATTGGAGAAGACGAGATCGGCAGTTGCCAAGAGGGTTTAAGGCTGTGAGACGTTACCAAAAAACGTTAAGGATATGTTTATGCGAGTATTGGAGTTGGGTGCTTGTGGAGAATACACAAACGCCACATTACTTGAACGTGTTGGAACCAAGAACAATAATTGTAAACGTTAATTAACGATATATACATTCATTAATGTACAATATATATAAGCATATGTATTTAATAGTTATGTGCTGCTCTTTAGGTGCCGATTACTAGTGTAGTCTTACATACATATTTACATATGTATTATTACAAATATTATTGATTTAATTTGTATATAATTTTTTTTATAAACTAAGTATGTATGAGTATACCTTGTTCGTGTGAGTAGAAATTATAAACGCTAACGGAACAATAATTTGTAAAAAACAAGAATGTAACAGTAGTTTTAGAAAGAATAAATGTTTATATGGCGTACAAGTTGTATTTGCTTAACGGTTATTAAAGAAATGAATTTTCTGGTTGTCAGCTGGTAACAGCTGTTGCAATACGCTTTTTAATTTACGAAGGCGGACCGATAACTACCCAGCCTTACGACCGATGCCGCAATAGTATAACAGTCGAAACAATTGACTTCATCCTGCTACAAAGAAGGGAAAGTTTACATTCACCGCATTTTGTAATGTACAAGGGGAGATCATCGTCTACCTGGAGAAGCACAATAGGTCATAGCAATCTACATGCCAAATTAGAGAAAAAATTTTCCTATTTGCAAGAAAAAATTGAGCTCTTCCTTAATGACAGTACACTCGCTTACAGCTAGAATATCCGTATGAACTCTTGTTCCATGCAGCGGATTTTCTAGTTTTGACCTCTTGCGACATCCTTTGTTTCGAAACTATTCAGACTGCCCTCGTATATTAAAGCATTTCTTATAGAATAAAGCAACAAAAGGCATTGGAAGCAAAATTCCAATAACATCTGTCTGATAATTTTAGCTTAGACGCTGATAAGGCTTCAGCTGCTGCAATCACGACCAAAGCAAAAAATCATACCCGCATGTTGTTGTTTAGTTTAGTTTAGTTATTTGTTGCTATTTCGCCCACATTATATTCAACTAGGCATATTATAAATAATTTGCAGATTTTCTGATAACCAATGCTATACATTTGAGTTGAATTGGATTTATATACGATTAGGCTTAGAGGTGATAACAAAGATAAAGCAATATAATACACTAATAATAACCATATACTACATACAATAGATACACATATGTATTATGTATGTATGTACATATGAGTATGTATAGTAGTGTAAACAGTTGACATTGCCGGCTTTTGCTTTAATTAATGCAGTTGCAAAAAGATAATTATGCCATATAAGCATACTAAGTACACTGATGGAAGGAACCATAGCAGCACGCACACACTTAATGTACTCATTCGTTTTGCGTAGGAGCAATTGCCGTAGAAATAATCTCATATTAAACCATAGTGTGCTTTTAGGCGCACTTACTATACTATCTGATACTATTACTTGCTATGTTAGCCATCATATACCAAAAATCAATGGAATTTTACAAGCCATGTAAAAAGTACTGGACGCTAAATCTAAGTTTTTTTTTATTTATTAAAGAATACAATATTTAAAAGGGTTGCCACTTTTTCATAAATTCAAGCTTCTTCGATTTTGCTTTCCTTTTCTTTTTTTATTTTATATTTTAATTTCTAAATCTTTTTAGAAGTATACTAAACATTAAAATTTATTATCTTATATGCAACTAATTAAAGAAAAAACTATGAAAAATACACAAAACAACTAAATATAAATATATGTACGTCATATAGTTTTTATTATTTTGCCAGCACTGTACATATTTATAAACTGGCAAACATTAACTAACCTTCATACAGAATAAATATTTGAAGAAAAAACATCTTTGAATTTCTCAAAAAAAAAATTTATTGAATAATTTGGACAAACTTTTGTTGGTCTATAGAGATTCAAGAGAGTATCGTACACACTGCTCTACATACTATATAGTTACTACTCAATTTGTGTTATCATCAGTAGATTAATTTTCAATAACAAACGAATATCATTGATACAATGCGTGTATACTTATTTATAGTATATTTCAATTAAATGCATAGTAGATTATTAAAGGACAGGAACAACTTATAAATAATTTATTATTAGCTCAGCTAAACTGATAACACATTAAAAAAACACAGTTCGAGTAGAGTGTTGGAATAGATTAGATATAATCTCGTTTTTTATGTAAAATACTATGAAATTATTAGACGCGTGATTAAGAGGGAATTTCCCAAGCATTAAAACATTTGATGAAGGGGTATTAAAACAATAAACTTTCGTTCATTATATCATATGAAATTCTAAACGAACATTGCCATTGTTCATGCATATCACATGATATCAGCTGATAGAGAATTGCGATTTTATAAATATCAGATTTTTCACAATTCATAACTATAGTAGTGTAAATCTATCAATGGGATAGATTAGCATTCGAATCGACAGTTATAGGAAAAAAGTAATATATAAACAGCTGACAATCTACATATTATGTAGGTTTGAACTTTAGCCGATCATTGGTATAATTATTATTGAAGCTACAAAATAATATCGTTAAAAAATTAAATGAATTGCACGTTAAGTTGCATGAATAGTTTGTTATAGTATTTAATAAAATATAAAATATAATTATCCAAACGACTATTAACAATATATGTACATTAATAAATCCTAAAGTGAGCTCTGAAGAATTACTATTATGTACATATGTAGCTGTTAATGCCGTTAATATCGCCTATGCAGGAAGAAAGAAGTAAATATAGACTTAACCCACATTTTTACTTCCGTTTCCTGTACGAAAACTTCAAGAGTGCCTATATCACACATCTCAAAAATGTAGGGTGTTGGTTGGCTATTGCAATGCAACAAAAACAAACACCTGCGAAATGCCTCTTCTTAGCCACAGCGCTCATTCACGGTGAAACCAAAACAAAAAGTAGTAGTATACGAAGCTGAGAGAGTTATGAATGACGTTTCTGATGAGAACAAACAAAAAAAACAAAATTCTAACAAATACATGTATGTAAGTGCACATAAATTCAGGCAGTTTAGTTTAAAAAAATAGGAACAAATATCTTTTCATATTTGGTTCTAAATTAAATAAGGAACTAAAAATGTAATTAAAAATTATTTCCAGACACATTTTTCCAGACATAATATCTTCACTTGTTAAGTAAGCAATGAGCTCCAGAAAATACAAAGTATTCATGGCTTAAACAAGAGTTTTAAAATTAATGTTTAAGTTCTCTGAGTCAAATACATAATGGTATATAAATGGTGATGATTCAGGTTTCCGTAGAGAGCTTGGATCATTGCAGTGAAGTTCTTTTGTTTGAAAAACGTATGTGTTGATATTTATGCATATGCATGTTCATATGTGTAGCGCTGTGTAATTCTATGTGGAATGCAAAATAATCACAGAAATTAATTGTAAAACTTATTGGGGCTCTTTTCAAAAATATGTGAATGCATACAGATGTACATAGGCATTTAGAAGTGTGGTATAATAAATAAATAATATTTTATAATCATGTACATACCACGTATTTTTGTGCGCTTGGTTAGATTTAAACAGATTTCGCCTTTTATTGTGTCGCCAGCAGAATATACTTTTTCCGGGTTGTTTAATGTTATGCGTAACTTCTCCGTTGCCATTGCAGATACACTAATACCTTTTACACTTGGGAGAGTCTTTTCTTTCAGAAAAATGCCAATTTATATATCACGAAACTCACTAATATTCAATTGTGATATTTGTTGGTTCAGTTCACTTCATAAGTTCCTTGACTGATGTTTCTCCTTTACTAGCTAAATTTCAGACAAGGCTAAGTTAATGCTTTCGGTATTTGGCATTTTCGTTTCTTTTTTATATTTCTATTTTATCCAAAAATAAATACTTTGCCACTAACACTACACAAAACAATGGTACGTACACCCGCTCCACCGCCACTTTCTCCACATACGCACACTAGATTGAGTTCTCGTACCCCTTTGACCATAGAAGATTTCATCTGCTTACAATCGGCAATCGTTTAATTTCATTTGTATTTTTATAAAGATTTGTTCGCATGTAATTTAACGATTAAACTTCCTTCTTCTACGTAAGTTACTGAATGCACTTTGTGCAACTTTTATTGTTCTTCCAGCGCAAGAGTTTCGGTAGCAGAATGCAAAAGTCTTTGCCAATGTAGGAATTTTTGCTGTTCTTTTCGGCGCTCATGCAATTCTGCTTCACACCTTTTATCGCTTCAATTACTCTTTCATGCTACCTTATTACACACTATACTTTCAGTTCGCCAGATATGCCATAAGAACTTATCCACTTATCCACGAAAAGAAAAACCCCGCATTCATAATTTTCTCTGCAAACATAAAACAATACCATTCCTCTTACTATGTATTGCCGCTATCCAAAGTGTGTGCGTGAAAGAGATGAATAATATTTGGAAATTGCTAATTGGAACAGCTGTGGAACAGTGTTGCCGTCTCTCAAAGTGAATGCGAGTGAAATATAAATGAGTTAAAAACATAGGCAAAATATATATTCATATAATAATTATGAATACTGACATCTTTTTTCTCTATTATTCTTGTTCCACTTATAAAAAAGGAAACAAATTTAATGGAGTCAACGATCGTATTAACATGTTGTCTGAATATTTTAAAACACTGCATACATTTAGAACATTATTGTGAACTGATTTACTAGCAACAGAAGTGAGTGCAGCGTTCCTAATATAAGTGGGGTCTTCACCTAAAAAATCATCATATCATTAATAGATAAAGGAAAACCTAAGAGGACCAAACTATGTACAAATCACTTTTTTGCCACTAAATTAATAACTATATTGTTGTTTACTCACTGATTAGTTTCTATTAGCACTCAGCTGCAATTTGAATTCCAATGTCGTTTTAACTTTATAACGTTATATTTGCCGTATGATTAACGGTTATTATTATCTGCGTCTCTAAATTAAATTCAAAAATATTTGGGGAAACTAAATTTGGCAGATAGATACTTAGGAGTTAGTGTAATGATAATCAGGCATTTTAAATATGACTCTCTGATTCACTACATGCACGTCTACTATGTACTCATGCACATATGTACATATAACATACACTAGTCTACTTTTGCCTTGAATAAATGGATAAAAAAAAAAAAATAAAATAAAACAAAAAAAATAATATTAAAGAAACATTTAAAAAGTTTAATAGTAATAGTTATTCAAAAAAAAAAAAAACGTAAACTTTTACTATTTGAAGCCAGACCTACATAGTCAGCTTAAATATAATATAATCACATTTGCAGCATTATGAAGAATTTTGTCTTCTCTAAAACTGGATTTAACGTGTGAGATCATTTACGATATGCTCTCAAGAGTCGCAAACTATTTACTTTATGGCTATCACTGGCAAGCCAATACTACTAACCAAACTACCCGATAAAAATAACAACATAAACAAAGCACTATAAACTTTAAAAGCTGCCCAACAACAAAACCCGTGTGCGTATTTGTCATTAAGACTCAAATGAAAACTTGTCTTCAAGCGTTTCTCAAATCTCCGACCCAAACGCAAGTAATAGTATTGAACCCCTGTAGAAAAACTTTGTAAGAATAAATTATCTGAGGCAAACATTACGAAAACAACTGGTAAATGGACATTTTTGAAAAAGAAAAATCAAAATAAGATTAACATGTTTTTACCAAATCTCCCTAACAAACTTTATTCAAATGCCTTTTACACAATTAAGGTATTATTTTTTCGAAGTTGATAGAAAATACCATATGTTAAAAAAGAGAGAGATTCTGGCCCTCAATTGGTGTATTTTTTTCTTAGAGATACACCACGGACGAGATAATCCATTTAAAGAACCGCTTACAAGTTGAGAGTAAGAATATAGAGGTAAAGTTAGTGCTTGGCAGGCATTATGAAACCTTCAAGTGTTTTTTCATTGTTAATCGTTCTGAAAACCACCGGAAACCTCCGTCAAACGAGAAAGTGCGTTAATTTGATGCAAGTAACGATTTTCCAGCAGGGTATACGAGGTACATTTATATATATACACATATAAGTAAATTGGTATCTTTGTTCAGTTCTTATGCGCAGGGCTCCACCGGCAACGCATTTTTGTGTGAACAAAAGTTGAGCCTTTCCGCTGAGTCTGTGAACGTTGCGTCTTTGTTATATTTTTATTTATTTAATTCAGTTTGGAATTGAAGTTGCTGACGAATAGACGCGTTTAATGGAGCACAGTTCCACATACTCAGCGAAGGGGATAGTTTCAAACGAGAGAATATGCTGAACGAGCATTTCCACCATCACTAGCGTCCAACACCCGCAGTGCTCTTAGATGATTTGTATCGCTTCCGCGTATAGCAATAAATAAGCGGGAACAGTTTAAAACGTTGTTGGGTGCTGGGTTGGTCGGTCGTTCGGTCGCGTGCGTGCAAAATTATGTCATGCTCACTGAGAGCTATAAATATCTGCCAAAACAAAAAGAAATAAAATAAATATTAAAATAATAATTGTATGCGTTGATTTGAGCCAACAGGAACACTGTGTGCGGTGGAGTGAGTTCGAACAAGAGACAAGTTTATTGATACAAATGTATGTATGTATGTATAATATGTTTGTGTATAGGTACGCAAATTATAGCGCAACATAGAGACACACCGGTAAATGCCGGCATGTAACCTTGAAACACGCAACAGCTAACAAAGTTTGTACCACACTGCACCCAAACTACGAGTGTCAACTTTGCATGCGAAAACGAATCAGTAGCGCAATTGTTGGGGCGTGTGTTTGAAACTCCAATCGCCGTGTGGTCGTGATTCACGACACTTCAATTGATACCTACTCTAGAGCGTAGCTGGAGCAACAATATTTGTGTCACCATAATTCTTTGCGTCATTTGAAATTCATTCAACACCTCACTGCAGCGTTTTTGGTGAAGTAACACGGAGAGCAACATTGTTGAATATTAAATACCCGTTCACATCAAACGGCGAACCGATCACTAAACAAAGCATTTGTGCGAATTGAAAACGACAACAATAAAATGGCTAGCAAGTGCACCATCACATTTGACAACAACCCGATGGGGGTTTACTATGCCGGCCAAACGGTTTCCGGCGTGGCGGAGTTAATAACAACAAGACCGAAAACGATTAGATGTGCGTATAATATAATTTTTATGATTTAATTGTTCAACCAATTCAATTACAGTTGGTGTGAATAATTTGAATGATTGCATTATTATATACATATTTGTTGTAAAATATTAAATTAAATTTTAAAATAATAGTAATAATTTGTTCATAATTTAAAATTCTTAATCTATTCTTCAAAATTTATGTTGTCCTCCTCATTGTAATCTCCTAATACACTGGTGCCAATGTTTTTTTTTTAAATCGTCGAAACAATTGTTGAAATCAGTTTCCAGAATAGCCTTCAATGACCGTAGGGATTTACGCTTAATGTCTTCAATTGACTCAGGAGCGGTCGTTTGAGTTTGCTGAATAGCCAAAAGCCACACGGCAAATCAGACGAATACGACGGTTGCGACAGGATATTGGTTGACAATTCGGCGAAAAACTCACGAAGAAACAATGCAGTATGCGATGGTGCATTAACATAGTGCAACACAACAAGAGTTTTCGGTCCATAACCCTGATTTCTTTATACGAATAGCTTCGCGCAAACGACGCGTTACACTCAAATGGCATTCCTTGTTGACACTTTGGCCGGTCGGAAGGTTCCCGATCGCACCACATATCGATAATAGCAACAAACTGTCAACATAACCTTGATTTTTGACCTACATTGATGTGATTTTTTCGAATTCGGCTCACCTTTGCCACGATCTCCGGTCGTTTGATCGCCTCTTTCCGGATCATAAGCAAAGCTTCAAGATTCATCGCCAATAGTAATATGTTTCGTGACATACTGGTAATCGGAATGCATTGTTTCACAAACGTTAACGCGACACAGTTTTTCAAAAAAATTTAGTGAATCTTGCTTTCACTTAGGCCTAAATTATGTTTCTAAATGGTTTTCATGGATTCTTCCGACATTACAACGATGTCAGTAAGATCTTTGACTGTTAATCGTCGATTCTCAAGCACCATTTTTTTCATTTTATTGAGTTATAGTGTTGATCAATAGTTGATGTTGATGGCTGTCCTGAACGTCGTTCGTCGTCAACACGTTCCCAACCCTCTTTGAATAATTTCTAGCAATTAAAAACACTTGCTCGCGACAAATAATTATCACCGAAGGACTTTTCCAAAATTCTGTACGTTTAGGCACTAGAAATTTAATTCCGCACACAAAATTTAATGAAATTTCTTTGTTGAATAATTTCACTAATCGTAAAAATCGCCAAATACACTTTATGTACTTCGATGAGTTTAAAGCTCCGTCCAGCGGTTAATATTTTTTGCAAATATAGCAGAAACCGTTAGAGTTGTTTGTGAGAAATGAAATTTCACCACACAATTGCTCGAACCATTAATCCGATTATAAAGGGTTTGTTTCAAACGGTTTGCAATACCGACCCACCTAAGTACCAAAGTCTTCAGTAAGATCTCTCAATTTATATTCCAAACTACTGGTCCGGGCAAAACTGTATTTAGTTTAAATTTGCAAAATCACTATTTTAGCGATTACAACGAATATATTAATTTTTTAACCAAGTTATCCAAAAACTTTTTGCCTCTTATATGGGTCACACTGCTTGCGCAAGTCCAAATTCATAAGTCCCGTAATTATTATTTTTAAAGTAAAACTTGAAAAGTTCTTGCCGTGTTCCGGCTGAAACCGTAAGCTTTCCACCCTCAGAGCTACTCAACCGCATACCAATTTCGCTTTGTAAAGATGTTCTGATGTGTGGCTATATGATGCCAAATTGAATAAGTACATACGCATTGAAAGATAGTGGATAGTAATACTAAATTACCACCTATATACAAACTTATTTATATTCAAATCATTCAGCTTTCATCATTCCCTGCAGAAGTTACAAAATATTTTACCAAAAATGTATGTATGTATGTATACCCATACTTAAGTATGTATCTATACCGTAAAGTCTTTCTTCTTCAATACTGGGATTATTATGTTATATACATATATGCTTTTACATTATCATACACATACAAATGTACATATGCCAAGGAATATCTATCTGTAATGCCGGATTACGTCACCGGAAATTCGTTGAAACAGTACCAGAGGTGTACAATAGAGAGCGATATATATATGTATGTATATTAGTTACTAATAATGAGCTCAAAAACGATGAAGTCGGCATTATATAACACGCCACTATTGAAACAATAGAGGTAACAACAAAGCAATATAAATAATTGGCATACATACATACCACGTTCACACACATTACCAAGGCAGATACATTAAACCTGTTTTGAAATTTTATAATTATTTAAATTTTTTCAACTCTGAAATTACACTTTGACCCTGCCATCAGAGTCTTAAGGCCTATGTGATTGCTGACACACTGAATCACTGTAGGTTGTAATTTTTACAAGAGATTAAATTTTAATGAACATTCAAATATAAATCTGTATGGACATATGTAATAATATATGTAGATACATACATATATGTATACCTATAGAAATGTTAATAGTAGTAATAATCAATTGCTGATAATTGCACTATTTTTAAAACATTGATATTCATAACTAATAAAACCAAACATATGTACACTAGAGTGAATCGATTTACAGGGAGAATAAAAAACAAAAAACAGAAAAATCCCATATTCGGGTAATATTCTACAGATTATTCTGAACAACTTCGCCCAAGAGAATATGTATCTAAAATCGGTTTCGAGACAGTGATTTTTAAGGCGAAGTTTATCCCTTGGGGATTATAAAAGATTCTTCGTCAGTTTTTGAGAGATCCGAACGAGTATCAAATTGATTATTTTAAAGAATCGTCTAGATCGGTCAACATATTTCCCATTATTGACATTTTTATTTTCTGGTATCCTGCCTTTAATTAAAAATTGTCCTCTACTTAATAATTACAGAGAAAATAAAGAAAATCGATTGACTATAGCATATATCGACCAACTAACTTTGAAGTAGTTTTCTTGTGCAACCCTTTAATTCGATCATAGCGGAATCGCAGTTAATTGCAAAGCTGATGAGCTAGCATTGAAAGATACCCTATATTCATTATCGGTAGAATGGAAAAAAGTCGGTGCTCCAGCATCCTCTTGTGTTCTACTACTGTATAGCTGGGCCTCGCGGATGTTTGGCCAACGCTGGGCCACCATCGGTACTTGCGCTGTCACAAAAGCCTTTTGACCCAAGATTGGCGTACATGTTGTAAGATTGCGAATCTTACCAGACGCCGTCTGCAGAGGATGTTGTTGGAAGAAGATGCAGTAGAAACAACTGAGCACTTCCTACGTGACTGTCCCGTGTTTGGGAGGTCATCCCACCAAACAGGCGGGTTTAGCGCCTTTGCCAATGTGTATTGGCTAGTAAGCGTTTTGCCAATCTGCCAGTCCGAACACAGGAGTTCTTGTTATCAATGACTTCATAAAGAACAACATTTATCAATCTTCGTGCGATCTTTGGCATGACCAAATTTGGCATTAGTCTTGCTAATTTATTTATGGACGGACGGCTGAAGGGTTGCTGGACGTAATTCTGGTGGCTAGTAGATCCAACTTCCAGCTCTACAGGGTTCAAGCTTATACTGAATTATCATTAGAAAGTTTCTTTTGATAATTAAAATAAACCTTTGAGTCGGCTGACGATTGATGGTTACTCACCTAAGTAATCAAACGTAGCAATTTATCATAATATACCGTAAACTACAAAGAAGAACTATCAATTACTACCATTTGACCTGTGAGGCAAACATTTCGTTAAACAACAATTTAGTATTTACAAAAAGAAACGCCATTCATCAGCCACAAAAGAATAACGCATGATCTAATTGGAAGACAAATTGCACGATACAATGTCGAAGTATAAATACGACACAAAAGGCCTCATGGACAGATGCGCTATAAGTAACATACATCTGCACAACCGAAGTACAATAACAAATATGACTTATTAGGTAGTTCTGCAGCAACATATTAAGGCAGCGTAGAATTAGAGCAAAGTAATTCAATTTAGACAATTAATTTGTGGATTAAGTAATGATGCACAGTTATATACTGTCATACATACATATATGGATAGAAATTATGTACTATTATTTTTTAATTCCCAGCAATCTACATAAGCGTCTGTGGTCACGCTGAAACCCGTTGGACGGAGAATGTAACCAAACAAGATACTGAGGGTAAACCGCAAAAGACCATCGAAACGTTTTCCGGTTCCGAATTGTATTACAGCAGTGAGAATCATGTTTATGGACAAAGCGGTGGCGTACAAATCGAATTACCGGCCGGCAAGTATGCATTTCCCTTTCAGGCGACCATACCACCGAATGCACCCACATCGTTTAACGGTTCGTGGGGTCAGGTACAGCATGAGGTCGCTTTGGTGATCGATCGTGTCATGCGTTATGATAATAAATTCAAGCAGGGATATACGGTGATATCACCATATGATTTGAACCTCAATCCGGACCATATGGTGAGTGGTTTAACTAAATTGAATTTCTAATGATTACTACCTCTTTGATTTGATTTAGAAACCATTTCAAAAGATCGAAGAGAAGACATTCTGTTGGAGTTTTTGTTGTGGCAACAAAGGACCAATGGTTATGCATGTAAAGGTGCCGTTTTCCGCTTACGCACCTGGGCAGAAGATACGCTTCAACGTTGTGCTGGACAATCAGTCAGATGTGCACTGCTCCGATGTCAAGGTGCGTTTAATGAAGAAGGTCAACTTCACCAGCCGCAATCCGGAAGCTAAACGACAAGTTGTTGAAGTTAAAGTAGCAGATAATCACTGCGGTGAAGTGGTTAAAAATAATAAAGCGGAATTTAATGAATATTTGCAAATTCCCTCGACCACACCCACTTCACTGGAGAACTGTAGTCTCATTAAAGTGAGTTATACTCTGAAGTTCATAGCGAAAGTTTCACGCATCCACGGAGATTTGATAATCGAATTTCCACTGACCATCGGCACTGTGCCGTTATATGCTAGCGCCAACGACCAAGGTCCGGTTACAACGCAGCCTGGCTCAGGGCCGGTCTACAAGCCACTACGTATGTTTGCATTCTTTCATATAGATACAACATATTTTTTAAATAAAAATAATTTTTAATTTGTGCCCATAGCACCACCTATGTTCGAGGAGGATGTACGTAGCGAACAATTTGAAGATAACACATTCCGCCCACGTTATCCTGTCTTTCTCAGCGATGCTGGCATATCTGCTGGTAATGCTGGGCCAAATAATCAACCATTACCACCATCAAATGGTATATATCCTTCGAATATTGCTCCGGCACCAGCACCTGCAGCGCCAATGCCTTCTACTCCGCAGCATAACAATTCTACACCAGCTCACAATTATACGCCCTCACCAGCTGCTGCATCTTCGCCAACTTCACCTACGCCATCTGCACCTTCCTTAAATAATCCTACTGCGCGCCCCACAACAACCCCAGCTACTGGTGGTGGCAATATAGAGGTTCTAGGATTCAGCTTGCCAGCGGACTATGAGCCCACTCCGGCACCAGCGCCAGGTTCCAAGCCTGGTATTGGTTGGAAATAAATATTGGAATTTATTTTGAAGAATAACTTTTTGGTATTACGCAAACAAGCGAGCATATATGCATATGTATAAAGACCCCTAATCGATTTTTAAAAGTTTTAAATATTTATGTTTATATACATAGATGCATGCATATGCAGCAAAATTATTGCATTTTACAACAAATACATACGTTTGTTTCAATATATTTACATATATGAATATTTTTGTATAATTTTGTATTAATTATTAAAAGACGGAAAAATAATAAAATAAAATCTTTTTATTACTTCCTACTACTACCTACTGAAAAAGTCTGCATACAGACGAAATAATCCCTTCGGCATGTATTTGCGAATGGCAATATGTAGCTAATATTGAAAATCTAAGGGATGTCTTTTGCATAAAAATTAAACTTCAATTGCAAATTTCGCGATTTTTTTGCGCTATCTATTATTAAATCTTGAAAGTATAAAAAGCATCTACATTCTACTTTCGAGTCAGTGTTGATTTTTATAACAATATTATTTCTTTAGTTAAAGTTTTAAGAATATTAGGCTTGCTGCTGATCCGATCTAGCCGAACGTTTGGTTTTGCAAACGGTGTTTCCTTTTTTCAGTTTCACATATACTTACGAGCAAGAAAACTATTTCACATTATCAGCTTAATAAATATAAAGATCAAATTTGAATAATACATATTTATCAAAGACTTTTAATTTTTCAGTAAATACTCACATATGTACTTCCGTTGCATCTCCGGCGGATGCGCATACCTAGAATACTGCTGCTACGCCGTTTCATTTTATTACATCCACATCAATCAATAAAAGGTGCTAATTTATATCGCTTGAACTTTGTAATTTCCACAATTTTATAAAGGGTAGAAGTGCAATAAATAAAACACTACTAACAATTTATCTTAATAATTTAAAATATAAGATCGTAACTCACCAATGTTGCCGTATTTCTCAGGCAATTAAGCTGAAAGCTCACAAAAGTGCGCGTTACCGATTATAAGTTAAGTTTGAAACTACCAACACTAAGTAATATTATGAGCAGATTTTTAAATTCTCTAAAATTTTTTTTAATTAAAGTATTTTAAGTACGATATTATAGTCCTATTGAAACTATATACTTTTATATTCTAAAATGGCAATATCATTCGTGTTAATTCCGTAGTGCTGCCAATTTAAATTGAGTGCGTTGGTTTTGCGAAAGAATATCTATTTGAAACAAAATTATTATGTTTAAATATTTCTAATGCACACAATTAAGCTAATTATCTTATCTTTGTAGCTTATTTCTTCATACCACGAATATATATATATTTTTTTTTTCGGAAAAGTTATTTTATACGGAAACCAAAGCAGGCACAACATCACAACTAAATTCAAAGCAACTCTGTCAACAGAGTGCGACCAAGTTTTAGTGCTCAGAATAGAAGAAAATCATTTATTGAATAAAACTGAGTAATACAAGATGGACGTAATTTTGTCGTCGTCCAATTGCAATTTTTACTTTATTTTTTGTTTGTGAAAACTATCTGAAATCAATATCATACAACACAATACAAGTAAAAGTTCTGGTAAAAAAATTATAAGTAAAAAATTTGTTGGAAACATACACAGATATACAAAAGCGTGTTTTTCTTGATTAACTTTTTGTATTGCTACGCCTCTGCGGTTTTTTCCAATAGTGTGTACATAGGTGCGCGCGTGTGTGTATTGCAGAAAACGACAGTTTTTTGTTTGGTGAAAAATCGAAGTGTGTTACGCCGCTGCATCTGCATTGGTTCAACGGTTCGTGTTACATATTCCCGTTGTTGAAACGGTGAGTTTATATCCTGCTTTTTATATATTTTTTTATTTCAACATTCTTTCAAATAATAATTTTGTTTTATTTATATTATGCATACTTCAGTTCGTTCTAATTTTCCCCGTATCTGCCCATTTTTAGAAGTTGGAGCATGTTTTTTTTTTGGCTTAACTGAGCTGCCTAGCTACAAAATCGCAGATGTTTACCCTCTTAGGTTTGTTTTTGTCCCTTGCAGCGCAATTACCACCGCCGCTCTCATAAAAGAAAACAACAAAAACAATACCAATAATTTATAAATTATTAAATTTCAAACTATAATAATAAAATTATGCATACATTGAAACTACTATTCAAAGTAATTAAGTGCTCTCGGGGGTGTGTTAAAGGTCAATATCAAGCAGCTGTTTCTTTAAGAACAGATTGAACTGAAAGTTTACAATACTCTATATTTAATTTTTCACACTGAAATAAATAATTGTATTGATATCACGTGTATTTTTGTAATGCGATTCCTTTCTTATTGTCCTCGGTATCTGAATTTGTTGTGCATAGGTAGCAGAACAGTGAATTCCCTTAGAGCGTTATGGTCGCCGCTGCTCTAATAAAAAAGAAAACAAAAACAGCATTCCGTTAATTCGAAATATAAGAAAAATATTGTGAGAGCGAATTCAGAGAGGGAGCGCAAAATAAAGCCAGGGTTGTGTATGCCACGGTGAAAAGTGCTGCCAAATTATCATTTGATTATATATTAAAACATCCTTAATAATTTTAAAACATAACAGCATAATTATTAAAATTTACACTTCCGAATAATTTTGATGTTTGGTTAGGAAGGCGGGCATCGCATACTTTATTTACGACCTCTTTTAGATTTATGTTGCCTCAATTTCAATTAAATTAAATACTACATTTTTTAGTCCCTCGTTTATTTATTAGTTCAGTTTCATTTTCATACTAACTCATCCTTAGATTTCCGTATTGCTTTCCGTGGGCTGAATGATTTCATTCAGTAAAATATAAATAAATGTAAATAGAGGTCTACGTCTGTAGGTACACACCTGTTCATATATCATTAATGAGTCAAAGTTTGTGTATTTATTTACATACATACATCATCTTGTGGATGTTATCCATTTGTATTCATGTTTGTAGTCTGTGCTCTTGCTTATTATTTATTTACTGTTTGTGTCTCTTCGAATGTTCAAAGTTGTCACATCATTTTAGTATAGAAATATATTGTATGTATATGTAAATTTCTATTTTGAAAGACAGTAAGGAGATTTTTGAAAGGTGTGTTAAGTGAATTCGATATATGTACATATGTAAGTTAAATAAAATTTATTTAATTCATAAATTTTTTACACTATAGAGACATACAGTATCGGACAAAACATTTGCAACTAGAGCAAAGTTCTAGATTTTTTTTTTGTCTTACAATGCCATTTTCCCTTCGGATTGCTTTTTGTTTCAAGTTTTTAAATTTACAGCATTGAAGTTACATATTTTGCAATGTTTATCGCGATCTCTTTTTTATTTTGCCGGTTATATTTGAAAACAATTTCAAACGTATGCCAATCCGCCGCCACAAAACAATTGCAACTCTGTTTTGTTCGTTTCTTTTTCTAACGGTATTGAGCTTGAATTCATTAGCACATTTACTGAGCATAATTTCTGTTCTGAATTTTTGCGAAAACACGTTTTTATTCAAATTTTTTTACAAAAAAAGTAATGGCTCTTAATAAATTCGGTGAAGCACTCCGAGCACGTTTTAGTGATGATTATAATAACGAAACTTCTCAAAAAGAAATTTCTATAAAGTACAGAATTCAAAAGTCATCAGTCTTACGAATAATTTCGAACTTTTTTAGGAACAAAACTTTCGAACTAGTGCATCGTGGAAGCCGACCAAGAAAAACTGAAGAAATATGATATATATAAATGCTCAGGATGAGGACCCGATTTGAAATTCGGGTTATTGTATGTCTGTCTGTCCATTTGACTTGAGCTAAAAATAGAGATATCTTGATAAAACTTGGTATGAGCTTTCCTTGAGAAAAAGTTTACGAGCTCTTAGATAAGATAAAGAACTGTAATTGGCGAATGTGAACCCCGCGCACACCCATATAACGTTACTGTTAAAAACAACCTAAAGCGCGATAAAGCAGTAACTGAATACGCCAGAGATATTAATTTTTACCCATATGATGGTATGATACTTCTATAATGAAGCCGGGATTAAAATTGCTCATGGGCGTGGTTTCAGTGTGACAGTCTGAAAATGGGCGCACTCCGTCTCAAATGGAAATCAGTTCTTCCTTTAGCCCTAATATAAAGATTTTCGAACTTTCGGTTAGCTTTATACCACATATCTATTTCGGCCTATATGCGAGTTATCTTAATAAAATTGAGAGACAAAAAATTTATATATTCTGCATCATATTATATGTACATGTAAATTTTGAATAAATAGAGAGAACGAGAGGGAGAAACAAAATGCATGATCGCATGAAATTGTGCAAAAGGTAAATGACCAGACTAACAGCGCTATATTTACTGCAGACATTTCTATTATAGTGATTTTTTTCTTTTTAACGCTAATTTTTAATTGCTTTCATTCCTTGTTTTTGTTTGCTGTCGTTGTTGTCGTAGTGATGGAAGTAGATTTAACTAAAAATTGATAAAACTGTATACAATATTAAATTTGTATGAATGTCTATGCATAGAATACAAGTTCAGAGTGGAGTATCACGTATGTGAAAAATCGATTTGATTTAAGCATTTTTGGCGGTCGTGACAAAGCGGAAATCTATCAAAGTTTACAAATAAATAGCGTTTGCTATTTTATTAATTTGCTATGACTGTAAGGTAGCAATGACGTGTCATGCGATGACCAAAGCAATAAACCTACGCCGTGTCATTATTCTATGCTTTACAAAAATCTCTTCGGCTCACTCTACTATTTCAATGTATCACTTTCGAAACAAACGAATGTACACTCGTACTATGGTATCGTATGGGGCTAATCAGTTGAGTGCCCACACAAGGTAGGAACGCCGCTCCCCATACCCTTTGCAGATGTATATATATATAAGTAAAAATGAAACAGTTAGTTGGAATATTGAACCTCATGGAGGAGTAGTTGCGGTTCTAATGGTTTATTTGTCTATCTGCTTGTCTGTTGACGCGGCTGTCGGGTGCGTTGTGGGTGTTGCTTCGAAATGGGACCTTTGGCCCCAAATGATAATTATTTGTTTTGCTTTGCTTTGTAATTTCTCTACATTTTTTGATGCACTCGTGTGATTAAAAACATGTTTCCTACCCTATCATTTCCCTTCTGCGCTTGTTTGCATGTCAAAACCGCAAAAGACCATAGTATTTCATGCGGTAATCGATGACCATTATGAAGCCAGTAAACTTTCATAACATTTCAGAATGAGAGTAAACCGATTGCCAACGACATTTTTTCACTATTTTGCTGCACAGTTAATTACACTATGTGCTCTTATGTATTTGAATTTTTTGTACTCATTGTTGAATACTGTATGGTCTCTTTGTGTATTGGAAAGAAGTTATCGGTAGCAAATATTGTTTTTTTTGGTTTTCTGTACTGTGTGTGGTTTACTTGCCATATTTTTCAACAAATCTAGGTAGGAGTGATTTTTTAAGAAGTTCTGTTCTAGTCCTGTCCTAGTTTCTGTCTAGGGCTGGCTATTAGAAGAGCTTTTTGTTCCACTGTTTTAGTATTATAAAAAAAAATTATTTAACTAAATAAAATCTTATGCAATTCATGCAAAAAATTAAAAGCTTTTACTTTAACCATTCTTTTTGCAATTTTTTAATGACTATTATTTAAGAAAACCTATTGCTTTTGTTTTGTACTTGTCTCTTTAGTACTGGCCACTTGTTTGTTTATTGCCACACTCAAGTGTGCTTGCAACACAAAAATTTCACTCCATAAAATACGACACATTCATGTTTAGTTTAAACTATTTTAAAAGCGATTTCAGTGAACTGCTGTACCGGTGCGCTATTTGTGGTTTTTAGCGCTTGTAAAGCCTCAGAATTCCGATGTCTCATTTTGATATTTTAGTTATTTTTACGACACTGCATTCAAATTGAATTAAATTTGGATTCTTGGCAGTCGCAACTTCAGTAACGCTCTCATAGCCTCAGATACACATTTGTGGTGCTACCGTGCAGGTACCTTGCAGGGAAAAGCAATCTTTCCTGTGTGAATTTAACGGTTTGGAACTGAATCATTTTAGTTAAACGTACCGTTCGTCGTAATAGGCAAATTGTGATTTTTTAGTGCATCGTATTAACTTTCCACTATTGAAGATATAAATATATCGAGTTGGAGAAAATTTTTAATTTCGAGGACAACCAAGGGTTATTTTATATAGAGCTGAGCAAGTTCTGAACTAGCGCTCTTCTCTGCAGGGTGTTTTTGAAAATGTGTCTGCATTGGTGTTCCATTTACACTACGCGAACCTAATTTTTTTAGTGTTCTTTTCTGCTTATAGCCGGTGCGGCTATACTTCTTTTATATGTGCATATGTATATTTGGTGTTGCAATTTCATTTTCCCAGATATTTGAAGTTAATGAGGCGTCGTCGTTCTATAATATCTTAAAATGCTTTTGAAAAGCCTGTGAGAAGCGTAAATACATAGAATTTCTGCATAAATACATACATACATACATATGTATGTATATTCACATGTAAACAAATGGATAGGAAAGTTCTTTGAAGCTGCACAACGGAAAAGCTATTGAATTTTATTAATTTATTTATTCTCTTTATGTGAAGTAAATATGAATAGAGATTAAATTATTCTAAAATACGTTGCCGGTTGGATATATGAAGTTAAAATATTTAATTCAAACATTACTTATTGCATGTCTTGGAAATATGTTTGTTTACGAGGTTATAAATTTTTCTGGCGATTTTATATATTGGATCAATGAACTCTCTGAACCGAATTCTTCATCTTCGAGAGCAGAAAAAAACCGATGCGCCAAATCTTGTGAATTGGTATATCTTCACGCTAAAATTTTAACCAAAATTTCAAATTTAATGGTTGTTCGAAAAATTACGGATACGTCGACCGGAATTTCGTGCTAACCGGAAAACTTTTATTCATTTAAATTGGTTTAAACACAATTTCAGTACATTTTCATATCCTTCGACTCAAATAAACCATTGAATATTTTGCATTTGAAAAGGCCATAAAGTTTATTTATATGAAGCAAACATAACTATTCATATATAGTATGTACATGCAACAAATACATGCACGTATGTTTATTAAATATTATATATTATATCATCAGATACTGCAAATACCGCTTTGGGCAGCCGCTGCATTTACTTATTATAATACTTCCTTGTTTTTCTACATGTTTGCAATTTTCATTTCGTAATTTTCATGCCCGTAACTCCGGTGAACCATGAAGGTAATCAATTTCCCAGCGAGGCAGGTCGCAATAACACCCAAATTTGACAGACAACCAACTTAAATGGCAAATACAATGATTCGTGCTAAGATTGGCACATACTCATGCCACACGTTGCACTAAAAGGCAATACAGCTATCATGCTTCAATGATTTTCCAGTCTTTATTTTGGATTACATTTTTCCTCACTTATTTTCTCATGCCTTTTTATTGGGCACTCGACAACTACTCGTTCAATTGAAATTCAACTAGTAAGAAGTACGCAAAGTTTAATTTTCATCTTCGTTTTCTATTCCCAATTTTCAATGTACTTCAATTGATTTTTGATTTTTCCATCTAGCAGATTTCTACTAATTTGCTGCTCTCATTCGCATTTCAGACGTTGCAACCGAAGCTACGGCGACACTAACAGCGCAACAGAAGACGCTTGAAAACTGCAGAAACATACATAACAAGATTAAGTCACATATCTACTACGCCAACGAAATTCAAAAAAAAAGTATAAATAGCTAACAGCTGTAGGAAAACAACTGAGCCTTGCTCACATCTTGTCATCATTATTCACCTTCATACCTACAAATATATAGCATACTTTCATCTCGATCGTAAATCAAATTATTTACATTGAATAATTACCAACATGACTGAGGATACAGAATACAAAAAATTACCTGTGGATGAACGTTGTGTGCACAAATTGTGGAAGGCGCGCGTGGATGGTTACGAGGAAGCGGCGAAAATTTTTCGTGAAATTGACGATGAGAAGTCACCGGAATGGATGAAATTTTTGGGTCTCATTAAGAAGATGGTTGTCGATTCGAATGTGGTCGCACAGGAGAAAGGTCTTGAAGCGGCATTAATATTTGTGGAGAATTGCAGTCAAGCTGGTAAAACAGTGGGTGATGTTATGGCCGGCATTGTGCAAAAATGCATTGCCGCACCGAAAGCCAAAACCAAAGATTTGGCTGTGCAAGTGACGCTCATGTATATTGAGATCGAAAAACATGAGGCCGTCATTGAGGAACTCGTCAAAGGCATGGAACATAAAAATCCAAAAATTGTTGCCGCTTGTGTTGCGGCCACAACACTGGCGCTGCGCGATTTCGGCAACAAAGTAGTGAGCGTAAAGCCGCTAATTAAGAAACTAGCACCGCTAATGAGCGATCGTGACAAAACCGTGCGCGACGAGGGCAAACAACTGGCCGTCGAAATATATCGGTGAGTGTTGCAAATCGCACACGTTTAGTTTTGGCGTTTTAATTTAACTATGATTTTAAAATTGCAGCTGGATTGGCGCCGCAATGAAACCACAAATCACCACATTGCCGCAGGTCACACTTAAAGAACTCGAAGATGAATTCGACAAACTCAAGGGAGAAAAGGCTGAACCATCAAGGTATTATTACTTGCGTTAGTTTTTTCTTGTTGTTATGTAATTTTTTTATTATAATTTTTTTTTTTAAGATATTTGAAGTCACAACAAGAGAAACAACAGCAAATCTCGGCTGCTGCTGCCGAGCAGGAGGAGGCAGGAGATGGTAAATATTACTATTTTAGTTAGTAAATGTTAATATTTCGTTTAATCTCTTATTTATTCAACCTCTATGTCGCCATACTTGCCTCTTTTGATACATTTATTACGAGCTAAAAACTATAATTTCTTATCTTAATTTTATTCATTTTTAATTTCTTATATAAACCAATAATAAAAAACTTTGGTTTACAAAAGTTTTTATCTTCAAATCTCTAATATTTAAAATATAACCGAATTTCAAGAATGACTGTTTTAAAAATTTATTTCCATTTCTTAGTGTTAATTAGGTATTTGAGGAAATGAAATATATTTACAAGTATACATATTTATATTTTGAGCAGAAAATTTCCATTTCCTTGATGTTACATTTTATGGGTGATTCATCATCATAAATAGAAAGCCGAATATAAATTAATGATAATCTGGAAATTCAGAATTTTTTCATACATATCATATATCCATATTTTTACGTACGTCTAAAAATATTTCCAAAATACCCCTCAAAATTTTGAGTTAACTCCTTTTTATCGTGTTACATACCAAAAATATATTAATTAATTTCTTTTTCTGCATCATTAGCCCTCTATTCACACATACACAGTTTCCCATAGGAAATTCTTGAGCCTTTATATTCTTCCGCTTTTCGCGCACCCACCCAAATGAGCTCAGCATTAAGAATAATGTTGGGTAAAGTGATTTAGGAAATTTGATATTTGCGTTTATCGCAGTTATTGAGATCTACAGTTGTTTTTGTTTTGATATTCGCATGCGATAAATATGCACCGCTTTTAATGCTTTTGTTGGATTGTTTTAATTGCCACTTTGTCACGCCACATTGGATATGACGGTAATTTCGTATACTAAAGAAAATCATATAATTCTTATGTGCTCCAGACACACCCTCAAACCGTCTATTTCACACCTTTATTTAGTGCTTTGCGTTTTTGGTTAATTTCATGGGACATATTTGGTTAAACTTTTTTATTTTTATATTAATTATTGTATTTTTTTTTTGTTGTTTTTTTTATTTATAGATGAAGATGGTGAGGGTGAAGAATGCGTTGATCCAATAGACCTCATCGATCCTGTTGATATACTCTCGAAGATGCCTAAAGATTTCTATGAAAAGTTGGAGGAGAAGAAATGGACTTTGCGTAAGGAGTCATTAGAGGCGCTCGAAAAACTTTTAACCGAGAATCCCAAATTGGAGAGTGGCGAATACGGAGTGCTGGTGAACACACTCAAAAAGGTTATCACGAAGGATAGCAATGTTGTTTTGGTGGCAATGGCCGGCAAGAGCTTAGCGATGTTAGCCAATGGATTGGGAAAACGTTTTGGAACTTATGCTATGGTAAGTTACGTTATATAAAATATGTGCATGAATTTGGAGAACATTAAATGTTAATTATATTTGAAACATTCCTTAGGCCTGCGTTCCGTCACTCTTGGAAAAGTTCAAAGAGAAGAAAGCCAATGTTGTCGCCGCACTACGTGAATCCATGGATGCGATCTATCCCTCCACGAATCTGGAAGCGATGCAGGAATGCATTGTAGAATCGTTGGGAAATAAAAATCCTAGCGTTAAATCTGAAACGGCTTTCTTCCTAGCACGTGCCTTTGCACGCACGCAACCGACCGCAATCAATAAGAAACTACTAAAATTGCTTGTAACTACACTGATTAAGACACTAAATGAACCTGATCCTACAGTACGTGACGCCTCAGCCGAAGCACTGGGCACACTGCTTAAGCTGATGGGTGACAAGTCCGTTGGACCCTTCTTAGTAGAGGTGGATGCGTTGAAGATGGCCAAAATCAAAGAATGCCAGGAGAAGGCTGAGATTAAAGTTAAGGTGGTGGGCGTCAAAAAGGAGCGTCCTGCTACAGCGCCGGCATCGAAAACTTCAGTGGCAGCCGCCTCGTCAGCTGGTAATGTGGCTTCCGGGGCATCTTCCCGAAGCGGCTCTACCGAACCGAAACCAGGGTCACGACCCGCTACCGCAGGCAGCAAAAAACAAGTAACCAAACGCGCTGCGGGAGGTGGCGGTGCAGGCGGGGGCGCACCTCTTGCCAAATCCGCCAGTAGCGCTAAAGTGCAGACCACTGAGCGTGAAATGTCACTAGAAGAAGTTCAAGCTAAGGCTGAGGAACTGTTACCGGCCGATGTGCTAGCCGGTTTAATAGACTCGAACTGGAAGAACCGTTTAGCAGCGTGCGAAAATGTATTGCAAATTATTGGCGATTTCGATGTTAAGCAATCGGGTGTATCACAGGTACTAGTGCGTACGATTAGCGCACGCAAACCGGGCTTAAAGGTAATATTGAGTTTTGAAATCATTATTTCTACAGTTACTAATATCACCTTTTCGGCTTACAGGAGATGAACTTCCAAGTGCTAAAGCATAAACTTGATATAATACGCATTGTGGCCGAAACCTATCCGCTGACAACAACCACAATCGATTTGGTAGTTAATGAAGTGACAGAGAAATTGGCTGACATTAAAAATGGCTCCACCGCGGCTGATGTGTTGACCGCCTTTGCTGAAGCTACCAAACTGGAGCATATAGTTGGCCGTGTACTCACTTTCGCCTTCGAGCAAAAATCGCCAAAAGTGCAATCCGAAGCCTTGAATTGGGTGAGCAAAGCCATAATCGAGTTTGGTTTTCAAATACAACCCAAATTGCTGCTGGATGACGTACGTAAGGCGGTGCAAAGCACCAATCCTACAGTCCGCAGTGCCGCCATCGGTCTACTCGGCACGATGTCTATGTACATGGGTAGCACGCTAATGATGTTCTTCGAAAGTGAGAAACCTGCATTGAAGTCACAAATACAAACCGAGATGGACAAAAATGCTGGTGAAAAGCCACCGAAACCAGTGCGTGGCGTTAAGAAGACGGCTGCCAGCGCCAGCAGTGCCGCTGGCTCCGGTTATGCGGACGATGACGCAGGCGATGATGATGAGCCGCAAGAGCAAATTAATTTGGCTGATATGTTACCACGCGTCGATATCGCATCACAAATCACCGAGTCACTGCTGAAAGAGATGTCCGACAAGGACTGGAAAACACGCAATGAGGGTCTCAATAAACTACAAACTATTATAAGCGAAGCGAGGTTGATTAAACCAACAATTGGTGATTTAGCGCCAGCACTGGCGTTACGCCTTGTCGACTCGAATGCAAAAATTGCACAAACCGCCATGTCCATATGTGAACAGCTCGCAAATGCCATGGGTTCGAGTTGTAAGAGTCATGTGCGCACACTTTTCCCCGGTTTCTTACATGCACTCGGCGATAATAAGGCCGCTGTACGCTCTGCCGCCTTGAATTGCATCAATAGTTTTGGCGAAAAAGGTGGCTACAAAGAATTCTTCGAAAGTGAAATGATTGCCGATGCACTGAAAACCGGCTCACCGGCTCTTAAATCCGAACTATGGGGTTGGCTAGCCGAGCGTTTGCCACAAATGCCTCCCAAATCCATACCGAAAGAAGAGTTAACCTCGATGGTACCGCATTTGTATGCGCACATCTGTGATCGCAATGTGGATGTGCGCAAGAATGCCAATGAGGCGGTGTTGGGCATAATGATACATTTAGGTTTCGAGAATATGGTAAAAGCGTTGGATAAGCAGAAACCCGCTTCTAAAAAGGACATACAAGCGGCATTAGATAAAGCACGTCCAAATTTGCCGGTGAAACCGTTACCTAAAGGCAAACAGCAGGCACCCATTGAAGAGCCAGCAAAGAAGACAGTACGCGGCGGTGGCGCGCAGAAAAATGCTGCTACCAAGGGCGGCGCAGCAGGTGCGGCGGATAAGACTGGCGGTTCGTCGCGTAAGAAAGACGAAGACGTCGACACGTCACCACTATTGGCGGTGAATAATTCCAAAAATCAACGTTTGATTGACGAGCAGAAAATGCGGGTATTGAAGTGGACCTTCACAACACCACGAGAGGAATTTATCGAGCTGCTGCGCGAACAAATGACTACGGCCAATGTTAACAAAGGACTAATGGCCAATATGTTTCACGACGACTTTAGGTGAGCGTCCAAGCAATAGAAGACGAAGTATTATGTTGGAGAAATGTTAAATTAAATACATATAATTTTTAAAAGTTATATTGAGGTTATGTTTATATACAAATATCTAAAAGATCAAACTTTGTTAGTACTATCACTTCCTTAATATGTAATACGTTATTGACTTTGGTGTTGAATGTTCTCATTTTATTAATTTGTTGTTTCAGTATGATATTTTTAACCAGTAATTCATTTATTTAGGTACCATTTGAAAGTTATCGAGGCTTTGAACGAAGATTTGCCCAACAACAGCAAAGCATTAGTCTGTAATCTGGATTTAATACTGAAATGGCTTTCACTGCGTTTTTACGATACAAATCCTTCAGTTTTGCTGAAGGGCCTCGAGTATCTTAACCAAGTTTTCCAGACATTGGTTGAAATGGAGTATATACTGGCAGAGAATGAAGGCAGCGCATTCATACCACATTTGCTCCTAAAGGTAAACACTAATTTTTTAATATTAATTTGACTTATAATTGTTATTTTACATATTCTGTAGCTCGGCGATCCTAAAGACGCTGTACGCGTTGGTGTACGCTCTCTGCTACGTCAAATCTTGCTCGTCTATCCCTACACAAAAGTATTTGCCTACGTTATGGATGGCCTCAAGTCTAAGAATGCCCGTCAGCGTACCGAATGCTTGGACGAGCTCGGCTATTTGATTGAAAACTATGGGCTAACCGTGTGCCAGCCATCGCAACAGGTGGCATTGAAAGAGATAGCACGGCACATTTCCGATCGTGATAATTCGGTGCGCAATGCAGCTCTGAATTCAGTTGTACAAGCATATTTCTTAGCTGGCGAAAAGGTATACAAACTGATTGGACAACTAAATGAAAAAGACCTGTCCATGTTGGATGAACGCATAAAGCGCGCCAAAAAGACGCGTAAGCCTACAACAGTTGCCGCAGATACGACGACGGCGGTGGGAGGCTGCGTTGCAGGTGGCGTCGGTGGTGGTGCCAAATCGGGTGCACAGGTGGTGCAACAGGATAGCATTGAAATCGAGGAGCACACAACAAATGGCGACTACGATGAGCTACCGCCGCCCGACGAGCAGCCAATGCCGGCAGCAAGGTGAGTGCTGTGGCTGTGAAGTGTATGTAAATGACAGTACGTCTCTGCTACAATTTCGCCGAGAAGAGTGTAGTGAGCATAACGTAAAAAGTGAAAAACAAATTAATTAACGACCGTGCAAATGTGTATATTTGTGTGTGTAGACTTACATGTAAATAGTAGAAACGCTTTTTGGCTTATGTGAACGTCTGAACAATGCAGACGCAGTCCAAATTAATGCATTGACTTTGTTCGTTATTAATATTTTTCACTTTTGTACAAAATTCTACTTGAAAATTTGATATAATACTCGAAACGTTTGCATATAATTTTATATTTGGACAATTAAATGCTTAATATATTACTACTAAATCAAAACAGAAATATTGTACGAAGATACGAAATTGTTTACTAAATTGTATATTTCCCTTAATAATTGTAGTGCAGATCTTCTTCCTCTTTTCGCTAATCCCCATATGTTTTTTGAACATTTTTAATTTCTTCACATTTGCTGCTCTCTAACATAATTGAGAACACAAAACAAGCCAACTAAGAAAAGAAAGCATAACAATAGTAATAACAAGGATTAATCTTTTAATTTTCACTTCCTTAGTGTGCAATTGCAAACGAATGCGTATGAAGCAAATGCCAGTATGGATGAGAAAGACAAGCGCGCCTCTTCGCTCATAAGACAAGCGTAATTTCCCTTTTTAACATTTTCTACTTATATTATTTATTTTTTAACTATTTTTATTTTAAGTTGCTTTTTTTATTTCCTATCCGCTGCTTTTTATTTTCTTTACATTTTCATACTCAAATGTTTGTGTGTGTGGCATTTACTGGATTTTTGTTTTCGGAATCTTTTGCAAATTAACCGTCACCCATTACACTAACAAAATTGTGTGTGTGTTTTTTAAATGTTTGACTCTCGAATACATGTACATATATATAATAAATCATTTATAATTAAAAGAAAAAATATATTTTCATATTCTAAAAAATTGCAAGAGAGTGCGAGCCTATTGTATTAATTTGTTCCAAGCCTTATAATCTGTTGCCACCATTGTCCCACATATTTGATTTTCATATATAAATTTTGATTTTTTTTTTTTTATTAAATTAGTAAATGTATATACTAACTCTTTAAAAAATTAAAAATATTTTCATTTAAAATTATATTTTAAATTTAAATTTCGCCAGTGTAGCTACTGCAGCTTACTCGAAAATTTTCTTCTCTTTTAAAAGTACCTTGAGAAACATAATTCTTAAATAAAAACATATAACAAATCTTAAAATTTAAAAATTGTAAAGCTTTAATAACTTTTAACATTTTTGTATACATATAATATATGTATCGGTATAGACAATGTACTAATAGACTCGATTAAAATTTGAAATGTTGCTCAACAGCAATTAAGAATTTCTTTCATTATCTAAAAATCAAAAAATATAATTGTTTTTGCAATGAATAGAAGGTAAACTTGAGTTTGCAGCTTCAAACCGTTTTTTGTATTGTCTTCGAAGGTCAATAATTTTGAACGCTGCACCTTAACTCGAGTAAAGTTGTCATGGCTTGTGATTATATAATTTTATCGATTGTACAGATTCACTGTTACTTCCATTATTTATTGATGTAAATACAGATTTTTATGTCTGCAAGTCGAAACATTGTTTTTAGATTGAAAAACTTGGCTGTTACATATATTTATGCATCTTTTTCTATTAAATTTATTTGTTTGCATAATTTAATTTAATTTTTTTTTTAATTTTTTAAGATGTGTATAAGAGACAGAAATTTATTTTTTACATGTTATAGTTCTTTATTATTGTTTTAGCTGCTTTTTTACTTTTTTAATTTTTTTTTAATTTTTTAAGATTAATACAAAATTATAGATTCTTTTATCACTCTTAATATATAGATGTGTATAAGAGACAGATTATATAATTGTCGCCACACCACCACAAATGTAGATATTGATATGACAGCTGCAATTTATTTAATATGTTTCGCTTATTATAATATAGTCACACCTTAATTCATATACATATATTCCTTTTCATTACAACTTTTTATTAGTAATTGTTAAGTTTTATGTCTAATTTCTTATCATTTATATTTTATTTTTCTAGTATTATTTTAATTGTTTTTTTTTATTTTTTTGCATTCACATTTCCGTTTTTTTTTTTTTTTTTTTTTTTTTTTTTTTTTTTTTTTTTTTTTTTTTTGCCTATTTAATTTATGTTTTTATCTTCTGCTTCATCATAAATCACATACATATTTGTATCTACTTTCATTGTTTGTTTTTGTTTGTTACTATCGGTCGTAGTCCGCTTGTATTTTTGGCGTCTTTCACGTTTTCGTTTGTTCCGCTTGCATTACACTCATCAAATATTTGCTAAAAAACAAAAAAAAAACAAATCCTAACAGCAAAGCCTTGGCACTAAAAAAATAAATATTGAATATTTGAAAGAGAATATTGAAATGTTTTTCAAAAGCTGTTTCATGTTTTCATTGTAAATTAAAAGGTAACCTAATTCCTAAATATAATGAAAAAATAGCAGATAAACTTGAGTTTTTCTGAACAATTCCATGCTGTCTATGAACTGGTCATTTAACATATTTGGCATTAGTACAATAAAATAGTTTCGTAAATAAAAATAATAATTTCTGCTCAATATCTCAATATTAGTTAGTTTGGTTAAAACTTAATAACAAAAAATAATAGAAAAATAAAATATTGCATTATTTAGCTAAACGGAATTTATAGTCTGTTTAAAATTGAAAGCATGAAATAGTTGAACAACATTTTTCAGATATTCAGAACTTCATTATATTTTTCACATCGTTTCGTTAAGTTTTGCGAACTAAGTATTAATATTTACTTATTCAAAAAATTTAAATAATTTTTTCGTTTTATAGTTTTTAGAAAATATTTTAAGAATTAAAAAACAAACAATCATATAACTATTGAAGCTTTATTAATCAACCACTCATTGTTGAAAGTCTTTCGAAAAACATTTCAATATCCGCATCAAATCACAATTCCACGTGTAAATATACATTTACATACATATGCAACTGCATACACAATCAGCGGGCGTCTGTACACGTCCCTCCTTCGCTCTTCTGTCCGTCCAATGCATTACACCCAACATAAATTGCATTTTCTGGTATTTAACGCACTTAGTTCTTAATGCATATATAAAATATTTCACAATTAACTGTAATTCCATTTTATCTTTTATTTATCACCTCTTCAACAACACGTATAGGACATTCGATCAGCCCGCATCAACCCAGTATCTATATCAACAGCCCAAAACGAGTGGACCCTTTGGTTTGGATCCGGACGTAATAGCGGAAATCGAAAAAGGTTGGGTACGCGTCGATCAAATGCAGCTGGTGGTGCTGCCACCAGTCGATGTGTCACTACTGCATGAGCCCATCAAAGTAATACCAACACGTGACAATGTAAAATATCCTGAGGAGAAATTCCAGCAATTAATTTCGCGTTCGCATTATATGCAACAGGGTGTGCTTAGTACACCGCCGTCAGCGTCAGCTATTGCAGCCGGTGGCGGTTGTGCATCGCCGTATATGAGCCCTCAGCAGCATATTCATCACCAACAGCAGCTGAATGCAACTGGTTATGGTGGCGGTGGCATCGGTTGTGGCAGTAGTGGCAGTATCCATCCAACGGCTAAGTAAGTGTCTGTTTGGTAGCTCATGTTTAGGTTAAGTTTTGTATTTATATACTCTGAACATTGTATACTAAGTTTGCCACGGTGTTTGTAAGACCCAGCAGGAAACGTCGGATATCCAACAAAATATAGATTTAATTGATCAGCGTGATGACCTGTGTTGATTTACCTACGCGAACTAGGTGTCTAGGTTCGTCGGAACCGCCGATATCGGACAATCGTAGCATATAGCTGCAAAAGACACTCAACGATGGAAATCATAAAGTACTTGTAAGGAAAATTTTCTCATTTGAAGAGATATCTTCACAAAATTTTGCGTGGGCAACAATGCAATCTCCAAAGAAATTGTTCAGATCACTATAGCATACAGCTGGTATACAAACTGAATGGTCAGAATCAAGTACTTGCATCTAAAACTTTTTATTTGAAGGGTAAACTGTCCGATCTTGATTCTTGAAAGGAATCGTTTTTATTTGTGAAGGGTATTATTTTAACGCTTTTTCTGTTATTTATTAGTTTTGTAGAAAAAACTTTGTTATCTTTGTTTTTATTGCATAAAAATACACAATTTCTAATTTATTCATCCAATTTTCGCAGCCTTGTTGATGTCCTCCCCAAGCATGATCCTCAACTAATCAAAATGATCAAGTCAATAAGCAGCGTGGATACGCTTAAAGCACGCGCTGCCATCAGTGAACTTGCCGAGATTATCGACTCACCAGAAAAGCAGGCTGTGCTCCGCGACTATGAGGAAATTTTCATACAAAATGTATTGGCACAGTTCAAAGTATGCCGCGAATTCCATAGTTCATATTCCATCAGCTAACCGTTTCTGTTTTCTATACAGAATCTTTCGCAGGTGCCGATCACCGAGTCTTTGGTTGTGTACCAACCACTATTATCCATACTCTACTCGTTTTTCCACTCCAAAACGTTGGGTAAAACGCTGAGTGTTGCCTGCATCAAGAATTTAATGTCAGCGCTGCTAAATCTCATGGCCGATCAGAAGCTGAATACCGGCGATGATGGTCAATATAATAAAGTTATCAACGGCATTTGCTTAAAGGTGTTGGATAAAGCGAATTTTACGAATTTAAACTGGTATGTTAAAATGTTATTTGCAATGGAAAGTTTATCATTAGTCTCTCAACTTTTGCAGCGCACTAATACGGCTGTTGCGCGAAACCTGCCCGGTAGCTGGCTTGCCGAAATTCACCGATCTGCTGATGAAATGTATTTGGCGAAATGTGAAAATGTTACCCGAACGCACCAATGAACTGAATTATGATGCCGTTATATTGGAGGTGCATGAATTTATGTTGGCTTTGCCAAGCAGCTGGTGGCAAACTCGTCCATCCGACACACCCTTGCGCACGGTCAAGACGATCATTCACAATATGGCCAAAGTGAAAGGCAATGCCATATTGAATCATCTCAATCAGATACCTACCCACTCAGAGCTACATACATATTTGATAAAAATATTGAAGGTGCATAACGTTGAACAAATAAAGAAGTAATTGTTTCTCTTAAATCGTCTGTTTTCTCTTTTAGAATTTGGCTAAGGAGGGTCACATACCGAGCGCCTCACCACAACGTTCCGGCTCGGCTAAGGATTTGCATGGCAAACGTATCTCGAATCAAACGCATGAGACAATGTCACAGATTTTCAAACTAATCTCAGATAAAGAAACAAAACAACAAGGACTGCTGAAGCTCTACGAGTTTAAGGTGGGTTAAAAAGCCTAATCATATATTGTAGATTATCTGCGCATATTTAGACTCCTATTAGAGGATCTTTGTTTGCATTCTGTTCGGCCCTTGAAATTTCTTTAGGGAAAAAAACTAGAAAAAATCATATTTCATATTTTATTGCCTTGCAGGTACAAAATTCCGAAATTGACTTGACAACGTTCCTCAAAGGCGCCAGTCCCAGCTTCCAGAAGTACATTGAAGATGGTTTGGCCGACATCGAACGCGCTGTAGCACAGTCCGGTGGTGCGGGCGACGGCCTACAGCGTGCACAAAATGGTGATAATCGCGTAGGTAAGTAAAAAGAGCAAAGATACGAAAATATTTGAAATACAGCTGAGTGAAAAAAGCATGGCAATATTATTTGGTGGCATTTATGTTTAAAATTTACCGTTTTTCTATAATTTAACGTCCTGGAAGTTTTATTATATTCAAATAAAGCAACAAAATTTGTTTACATAACACTTGTATTTTTTGCATATACCACACACAACCACAAAACCGCCACGAAATAAAAAAAAAAAACCGTATATAACAAAAAAATTTTCCAACACCTATCACAATCAACACAATACTTTCCACCAACAACACATCCACGCTAAAAACTGTGTTGATTTGCGCAGCCTCATCACGTTATTCTTATCTGACAGATGCCAATTTCCAGTACCAAACAACAACGGCTAGTGGTTTGGGCAACAGCAGTGGTGGCAGCGCGGGCGGTGCCAAGACAGCGGATCCGGACTTTTGGATGGATCGCTTGAATCACCTCATCTCGAAGGCGAATCTCGGTCGCAACGCGGACGGCATGAGCGGCACGCACACTATGCTCGTGGACAATAAAGAGGCAGATGAAAATCTCAATTTGAACACAATGAATGCGCAGCAGAAGATGTCTTCGCTCATACGCAGAGATGTGAGTGTAAGTGGAATTCGTTTTTTTTTTTTTTAATTTTTCAATGGAAGGAATTCTGTATTTTATCTGACCATTTGTATCCCGTCATAGAAGCCTGAATTATCGCAGAATCGCCTGCAGCACCTACAAGCCAAACTGGCGGCGTTCAAGAAGGAAAACCACGCATAGATTAACATGCCATCATGAATGTGGAACTCAACTGCAGGTATACTTGGGCTTTCGAAGCTTGGTGTGATGGACTTTTCATAGAAGTGAACATATATACTAAATAAAAATTAAACAACAACAAGCTTTGTAGTATTGTGGCGCCGAAAATATACAATAACAAAAAAAAAAAAAACGCCGAAAGAAGTAGACAATGCGCTGCATATGTAAAACTTTAAAAACCGAAAGAAATGCGCTAAAACATATTTGAATGAACCAATAACTCACTATAAGCGTGGCTGCAACATATTTACGAAAGCAAAAACAAAAAAGGTATAAGTTAAATTTTCATAAGATTTAGCATTATATATGTATATGTATATATCTATATATATACTTAGCATAATCGTAAGTGAGTTTGGCTGCAAGGCGTAAATTATATCGAAATAGCAATGTGAAACAACAAAAACCAAGAAAACAAGACAAATGAGCAAAAATTAAGTATGGCTGCAACAAAAGTACTAATAATTATATACTACTAATAAACCATTACCTTTAATTACAATACATACACACACACACAAATACACTCATACACATACATATATACATCAGAACACACTCAAACACCTGGTATTTATGCTAAATATACATTTTACTATATATTCTTAAATTATTACCAAACCTGATATAAAAAACAAAAACCAATGAAGTTGAAACTGCAAATTAAAATGAAATTTGAATCGGTTAATATACTATATACATACATACCAATAAAAAGAATGTATTTATGCATGTCGATCGGCATTGAGTCTAATGTTAGTTTAATAACAGTAAAGTAAATGCAAATAAATTGAATTTGCATTTGCAACCGAAAGTAAACAGAAAAGTGCGTAAAGTGAAGAAGCATGTATTTGCTGTTGTGTGAACTCTCCCTAATGACTGCGGTTTTCCCTAAATTATGGAGTTTATATAAATAAGTTATTCTGATAGTGTTAGGCAAAGGTGTGTAGACTGCAAGTTCTTTGAAACAATACAACAACAAATGAAGTGAGAGTAAAGAGCAAATCGAGAATTTGCGTGAGAGGTCATGTGAGCGTAGCAAGTGTGCGCACATGAGCTTTGATTTTTTTGGTTGTTTTAGTAAAAGGCAGTTGTTATTGTATTAAGCAGCCTAATTAACGTGTGTTAAGGAAATGCAACTAGTTTCAATATTTCACTTCATTACTGTAGTAACTTTTATTTTGCGGTTCTGAAGGTTTTCGCTTCTCGCGTAGAGTGTGTCATAGAACGCACTTATGTAATATTGCTGCAGCTGTTTGAGTTCGTTTAGCTGATTTGTAACCCCACATGTTGTAACAGAAAAAGATATGAATCTTCTGTAATTTTAACTGGAACCATGAGTCGTACAAAGTCAGATTTTGTTTGCACTAAAAAATTTAAATAAAATATATGTGACCTGGTCTACGAAAAGGGAGCTAACGTGCGAAAACTAGTTTTCTGGGAAACAGCTGTTAAAAAAAAAAAGCATCTCATCTTCCATCCGAATCAACTAAAAAGTGAAAATTGATTTTTTGACACCTAAGCCCCTTTCCGTAGACCAGGTCACATATACCTTTGGCACAACCAACGCTACGCAAGAAGAAGAAAGCAATTTGTGGAGAGTTTAAAAACAATATTGGTTTACTTAAAAATGCACATAATGTCGGATGATAAAAACCTATAAAATCCTACTTCTTAAAAATTATATAATAAAAGGCAATCTCATAATAATTTTTGTAGATACATTTTTTTTTTATTGTAAGTATAAATATAAAATACATATATACTCTTTCGGCTTAATAACTAGTGTTGAAACATTAATTTCCAAACAAAAATGTAAACACAATACTTTTTTTTAGTTCCTTAAGCAAGTTGACTTTGTGAACTAGAAAACAATATAAATGAATTACGATATAATATCTTATGGAGTTAAAAAAATGGAAAAAATATATATTTTTTAATTTTTTAAGTATCGCCGCAGATCATTTTCGTTTTTATTAGTTATAAAAAATGTAAAGCAATTTTTGAGTGTTTTTAGACTTATAAATATCTATTGAAAAGAAAAGTAACTTTCAATTTATGCCTAAACTATAAGGTAAACAAAATTACGCATACTCGTAACTCCAAGAAAGCCAATCTAAAATCACACCTACAAAAAAATAAAATAAATACAAAAATTAAATAATTGGAAAATAATTTTCAATAAAACCTACATAAGCGAGATTAAAACTAGTATTATAATTTTATATAGCATTTCTCCGCTTAAATCTCCAACTAAATTTATATAACAATTCATCTTGTGCTTAAGTTTAGAAAAACTCATTTTAAAGCTATTTTTGCTTAAATACATAGCTAGCAATTATAATTGTAAATATGTTATCGCCATTTCAGCCATCTCGAATTAACGCTCCGCTCATTCGCTCATTGTTCTACGCTAATTTTAAGTCATACTTTGTTGAAACTTAATTTTTGTTCACTAAAAAGCTGCGATTTCTGCAGTAAATTAAAACAAAAAGGAAAACTATTTCTAATATACACATACATACATAATTCTTAGATATGTTTTATTGTTAAAATTATACGCTACTAAGTTTCTATTTTAATATACATATTTTCATGTTACGTTAACGTTGAATTTATTAATGATATACGCATTAAAAATATTTAAATATATATATACTCGTATAAAAGAAAATGTATCAAATATTCGTTTAAGCTCAAACACACAAGCAGAACAAACACACATCTACACATAAATAACACGTTAATACAATGAAATGAAGCGCTAGTCGCCTTCACTTAATGTCACTAAAATATTATTGTTTTTACTATTAATTATTCTTTATGTTGTTTTGTATTAAAGTCGCGTCTTCTTGTTGCGCTGCAAACATCTAAAACCAAATTCTTATTTATAATTTTTTTCTACTTTCGCAGCTAAAAATTGTGTTTAGCTATTTACTTTTCATTTGACACTACTGCTCATTTGCTCCCTTCATTTGACTTTTTTTTATAAACTTCGTTTAGTTTCTAACATTATTTTATAATTATTTTATTAATTACTATTAATACATTTTATCGTTATTTTTAAGTTTACCAGTCGGAGAGCATGTTTTTATATTCATACGAAATATAATTTTTAATTTCTTAACTATGCAAAAAGTATGAAAAATAAAAGCGATCACATGTTTTAAATAACAAATATAAAAAGAATTTTCATTTGCTGTTAGAAAGGGGGTATTCTCAAATGCGATTCCAACGCATTCAATATGATTTTTTAACTATTATTTATATTTTTTATAATCT